GAACAAATCTGGTTGAGCAAAAATGCCGCGAAACCGAAGTGAGTGTGTGAAAATTTGTCGTTTTTGCTGGCATACAAAACCGATGCAAATATCTGGCTTCGCCTGATTTTGTTGCTGCGCTCGGTGTTCAAATTTCCATGCACCTCACAAATATTAGTTATACTCCTCATAAAATAAATATCTATTATAAAACAATATATGAAAAAAAGGACAATAACATTTAGCATATTACAGAGTATGGAATGTATTCTATATTTTCAAGAATTACTGTGCATTGGTATTTGGGGCAGGTTGGTATAGGATTTTTGTCTTCTCCGTGTTTAGTCTTATACCAATACTCTCGCATTTAGGTTGTAGGTCATCCGCTGTGTTTGCCAGGCTAGCATTTTGGAGCTCACAAGAAATTGTAGATACATACCTGCGTTTTGTGTCAATATCTGATAAGATTGAATAGCATACCATAAATTCTATAAGAACAATTTCAAGATTTTCAGATTGTCTTTAACATGGTGAAGTAGGATTCCTTATACTTATACATACATATAATCGCATCATGCCACATTCTTGCTGCACACCAGCTATGATCTCAAAAGCTTTTCTTTGTCTGTTGATGATAAGGACAGTGGCATTTTGGCATTTATGATATTATGAAGTACCATCGAAGTATGTTGATTGGACAACCGCTTAGTGTCAGTTTTTTTCAGAAGATCTCTCTATCAGCAGAGTCGAATGACTTCTATAAATACCCTTACAGGGGTTTATTCTGTTCTGTCAATTTTTCCTGCATTTGTCTTGGACGGAAGATCATGTCTACCGTTCCTCAATATGATCTAAAGCCAGACTAGGTTTCGGTTATCGTTGCTTCTGGTAGAGATGCTGGAAGCTTTCGTTCAAGAGTGCACTTTCCGGGATCAGGATCACTTACCAGAACCAAAACTAACAAACAGGTCGAGAAGGAATGACTAGAGAGTAGTAGCTGTGATTACCAGTCACGTCAAAATCAAATCTGCCGTTAGCACATTTAAACCCCAAAAGTCACCCGGGCCTGATGGAATCTACCCGGCTCTTCTGCAGCAGGGACTAGACATACTGGCCTCACATCTTTTCAGTATCTTCCAAACATGCCCTGCCACGGGTTATGTGCCAGAAGCATGAAGGACAGCGAAAGCGGTCTTCCTCCCAAAACCCGGACAGTAAGTATACACGGAAGCAAAATCATATCGACCCAGCAGCCTTTCAAGCTTCCTGCTGAAAACGCTGGAGGTATTTAACAGACTGGGCGCTCTTGAAACTGCCCCTATGCAAACAACGACATGCCTACCAACCAGGAAAATCATGTGAAGCGACGGCTCACAACCTGGTAGTGAGGATCGAAACCGCGATTCACAAGAAAAAAATATTCCTGGGCGCCTTTGTAGATATACAAATTGCCTTTGATCACGCCTCATTTGATGCAATGGTCACCGCCGCAGCAAGACATATAGTCGACAACACCAACTGCAGGTGGATACACAGCATGCTTAAGTACCGGCGAGTTGAAGTCAATAAATACATATGGAGACACCCTAGAAGCTGACGTTACTCGAGGATGCCTCCAAGGCAGCGCGGCGCTCTATCGCCACTTCTATGGAACCTAGTGGTGAATGAAAGCAAACCTCATGGTTGACGCCAGAAAGGCCGAGATAGTACCATTCACTAGACGAAGGGACAGGGGTGAATACAACCTAAGCATCTTCAGAGGAAGGAATAATTAAAATAGTTAACGAAGTGGAATACCTAGGTCTAATCCTGAACTCCAAGTTAACATGGAACTCACATCTCTAGATGTGATCTCTAGTCTAGATCTGAGAAACCTCAATAAAGCAAAAACGTGTCTAGTGCAGATGTGTGATGGGAAAAACATGGAGTCTGAGACCAAGGACGATGCTCTGGCTGTACGCCATGGTTATCAGGCCCATAGTTGTAATACATAGCTGCAATATGGTGGACAAAAGCACAACAAGTAACGACAGTCAATAAACTGAACAGCCTTCAGAGACTGGCATATCTGTGCATCACCGGGGCTATGAGAAGCACGCTTACTGCAGCGCTGGAAGCAATTCTGTTCACAATAAAATGACAGCCATAGATAACGCTCACCGGATGAGGGCTGTCGGGGCATGGAAAGAAACACCAGGCAACGTTGATCACACAAAGGTTATCGACCTGATGGAAGATAACGTAGTGGAACCGGATCAAATGGTGGTAACTCATAAGTTTGAAACTCATATGCGGCCCAAGCATATGGCAGGAAGGAAAGCCTCACATAATAAGAAGAGGCCTGGTCTGGTATACAGACGGCTCCAAAACAGAGGATGGCGCTGGCGTATGTGGAGAAAGACCAAGATCAGAACAAAGCATCCCTCTGGGGCTTAACGGCACGGTTTACCAGGCAGAAATTCATTCCATTCAAGCATGCGCACAGGAGATTCTAAGGCTAAGTTATAACAACCAAAACATAAGCATCATTCTCTCAGATTCAGGCTGATCTGAAAGCTCTGAACTCACATAGATTTATTTCGAAAAAATAACGATGGAATGCCGACACGACCTGGAAGCTCTGCCATCAAGGAATAACAGGATAAAGCTCATGTGGGCTTCTAAGCATTCGGGGATAGAAGGCAACGAAAAGGTTGACAAACTGGCCAGAGCGGGCGTAATCGCACCCTCGAGAACCAGCATTTGGGATATCGAAGCATGTTATAAAGACGGCAGTCCCCACCTGGAGCAAGACACTTGAGGGAATAATTGAAAGCCCCTCAAAAAAGCTAACAGTTGAAGTAATGTCAGTAACGCACAAGAATGTCGTCTAACCCAAGAGCTTTAAATTTCTCCAGTCAGTTGATAACTTTTTCAACCACTTGATTGGAAGAAACGACACTCGGATGGTTCGGAGTCGGTTTTTGAGGAAAAATGTTCCTTCCATTGAGAGCTAGTTCCATCTCTAGATCTTAGAGTATTGTGGGACATTTTTTGGTGAGACCATAGTGGGTTGCCTTTGTAGCTTTGAAGTTCTGTTATAGATTGCGTAGGTTCCTAACTGTTCCATTCTGATATATTTCCTTATCCATCATTCGTTTTTCAGCAATCTTGTTCTTCTTTGTAATTCAGTCCTAGCTTGAAGATAGGTTAGTTTTTGTAAGTTGAATTTGGGAAATTTTGCCAGATAGATAAGATTGAAACTAAACTCTCTTCACATAAATCTATCTATACAAACATTTTATATGTATGGATGTTTCCTTCCTCAGCTGACAAGCATAAAATTCCATTTTTACAAAAGCCAAAAATTCTGAGGCCGTTTATAGTTTTCAAAGTACTTTTTCACAGTCCCGGAAATAAACTGTACTTACAGATAAGGTTGCGGCATAACAAAAAATGCGCGCAATACACCCCGGCCATATGTTTTCGTTATCTGCTATTTGCAGAAAAGTCGGAAAGACGTCGACAGCTTCTTCATCTCACGGCTTTTCTTTCCATATTCTCCCCTTTCTGTTTAGCGTCAGTCGTTACGTATAAACGGTTTTGAATATGAATAGAGTATGAATAAGTAGAGCGATATTTTGCTATTTATTATACCTTCATTGTGAGTATGTAATAGTTCCACAATTATTATCGTTTTTGCTTCTTTTATTTAAAAAAAAAAATGAGTCAGGGTCGATACGTTTACAGAAACCCTGAATAAATGATATAAGACTAAAAACAAAACCAAAAGGTAAGCAATGAAGAAACTTTTCTGAAACCGTTCCAACCGATGTTCAATCCTCGAATGGTTCGGTAACAGTGCAAAGTTCGCACTTGCTTATGAAACTAGTCCTATTTCCGTTCATGTTCCAAAAAGTTGGATTGTCCTAAATCTATTTATTACGAATAAGATTTCGTTTGTTTAAGTGGCTCAATTTTGTGATTTTGGCTATATTGCTTACTTCACAAGGTGTCCATCGGTTCGTATCTCGAGCCTATTTCAATACATATTTTTAGAGGGAATTCCTATACAGTAATTTCATGAAACTAAAATAGGTAGAGGGGAAAGATTAACCATAAACCTTTTTTTTTAATTAAACTCACACTTCAACTGATTCAAAAAACTCGCCATAGTTGAAATTTGTTGTTGTGAATGATAACCATCATAATATCGTCGCTCAAAACTGCCTTCATTCGTTTATTTTTGCTGGCTAAAAATTCAACTACAGAAAAATTATCTCTGTTTTCTATTACCAAACCCGCTCCGAAAAGCTTAAGCATATTTACCAACATAAAGATAATCACCTGTCTGCTTTATCCGGGAGCGGAAATCATATGTTTAAATATTTATCCCAAACAGCTCGCCTCTTTGCAACATTTGTATAGGATCGTTTTCCTTCCGGTTGTACCCCAATAGGGCCATTTTGTTTAGCGAAGTTGGCGTTAATGTGTTGCTTTCACTCGAACATTACTACCTTGAGCCTGAGGCTTTTCTACTTGAAACCACTATTATGAAAAATCAATAAAAAAGAGTGGGTCAGAATAATATACAGATAGATTGAGGCTATAAGTCTTCAAATACAATTATTTTCTTGGCTTTATTTTTGTTTGCCAAAAACCTTTGTCGTCAGAAAAGGCCTCATTGTTCGACATTCGTTCCATCAATAAAAAAATAGCTTACAAAGTTTCTTTTATTCTGTTACTGGAACAGCGCCCTGCTGCATTGTTAGCAAATTTAAAAGTATTAAACTTTAAGTTTTGTATAAGTTTGACACACTTTGAAGAACTTTAGAGTAAAAAAGAAAAGAGTGACTGGTTAAAGTTTTTAAGCCCTTTATCGTGCCGGGTAAATAAGGAACTCGTTACAACTCTATTAGGTTCGCAACATTTGAAATGAGATTTGTTTAAAGTTTTGATGGATTCACAACAATAGTGGTCTAATAAAAAATTATTTGCCTAATTGGGTGTTTTATTCTAAACCGCTTCAATATTTGTTTCAGAGAGTTGGATGTGATCTCAAAATAGATTCCAAGAAGCAAGTTGACGAATGTGGAGTATGTGGCGGTGATGGATCATCATGTGCCAAGCCGCTTTACCATTGGACCCTTACTTATACCTCTTTATGTTCTACCACCTGTGGTGGAGGTAAGTTAACAATACCAATTTAATATGGATATTATTCACAAATATGTCTTTTCTAACCGGTCTTGTAGTAAATTTTATAATAAGCCGGGATCACACTGGTGGCTCCCGAAAAGCATGCTCCCTTTATAAATGGTTCAAAGTAGCTAAACAAATCCAGAACTTTGGGTTTTGGGTTTAATTTTCATGTGTTTTTTTATACAGGGTGGTTCCCTCCCAAAACTTTAACCTGTTCCTGCTTTTCTACTCTTTTGCCAGTGCATCGTTTCCACGAAGTTTAGTATTTTCATTTTACTTATCTATCCCGCGTCTTCCAGGTCCTCCAGGAAACTTTTCAACGGGTGGTGTAGGCGTTCCTTCTGCACGGCTTGGCAGTGATATAGTAGGTGCTCTATTGTTTCATCTTCCTCAAAGCATTCTTGACATGGTTTCATCGATCCCGAGGCCCACTTATCGAGCATTGTTGAGAAGTTATCTATGATCAATTCATCGAATATATTTCAGAAAACAAAATATTGTATGCAAACCAATCAGGTCTCAGACAAAATCATAGTTGCAAAACAGCCATACAATAGTACATTAAAATACAAGTTTCATAAGACGTGATTTTATCGCACGAGCCCTATATTAGAAAACGAGCCGGAGGCGAGTTTTCTAAAGGGCGAGTGCGATAAAATGTCTTATGAAACGAATATTTTATACTATTTTTTCTATTTTGGTATTGTTTAATTAAAAAAAAAACAAATTTTCCTTGGAAATTTTATTCTCATATTTCCTGATTTCATGTTTAGGTTGGTAACACTACACGCCAAATATAGAAATCTTCTTTTTTATTTTTATTTTTACCAATAATAAAATCGCAAATGACAGTTCGATGGCCATCAGTCAGCCAGTGTTACCAACTTCCGATAAGTAAAAAAGGAGTGTCACAAAGAGCTTCTTTTCGAAACTACTTTCAGTGTCGAAAAGACTTCGATATGAAACCAAAATAGAAAAAATATTTTTTCTACTGACGTTTCATAATAGCAACTTTTCGATTGTCATTTCAGTTTTGAAACGACATTCTTTTAGGCACTGAGTGCGTGAAAGTTACTTTTAGGCACTCAGTGCGTAAAAGTGACTTTTGAATGCGTAAAAGTGACTTATGAGTGCGTAAAAGTAATTTTTAAGCACTAGTGCCTAAAAGTGTCATTCATTATTCAGAAATAAAAAACACACTAAACACATATTTGAATTTTGTTTTGTATTTATTATGAATATTGAAAATGGAATTACTGAATTGAACTTTACTCTACTTTACTACGTTACTCAAAACAGAAGTTTGTGTTATTACCTACTTTCTAGGATTTTAATTATTGATGTCGAATTTTGAAAAGAAAATCGCATGAAAAGTGTCAGGTGTCAAGTAAAAGCAGGTAACAAAGATTTTGGGTGTAATCGACTTATTCACATGAAATAAAATTGTGTTTTTTTATTATAAAATGCCAGTAGAAAAAATCTTGTATACAATACGTTACGAAACGATGTCTTTTAGTCACTCGACGTGTTGTCCAACTCGGCTTTGCCTCGTTGGACAATTTTCACGTCGCGTGCCTAAAAGACGCTCATTTCGTAACTTCTTGTATAAATAGCTATTATATGATTGGCAAAAGCAACTGGATAGTGATGTTATGATTGGAGCGGTTTTTCTTGATTTTAATAGGGCATTTGAGACTATCAACAGGTGTAGCTTAGTGCAAAAATTGCAAAAATATGGTATAAAGGGTGTAGCTCTAAGTGCGGTTTCAGAACTATTTGCAGAATAGGAAACAGAACACATACATAAACAAGATCACTTCTCCAGAAATTTTAAACAATAATGGCGTACCACAGGGAAATAAATTAGGGCCATTACTATTTCTTATCTATACAGGGTGTCCTTAGATAAACTGACACATTTTGCAGGTAAATATTTCGAAAACGGGAAAAGATAACGAGATGCGGTTTGTTCTGGGAGAATAAGGATTTTTTAAAGTTTTTTTTCACATTATTGCCGAATCCTAAAATTTGCTGAAATTTGGTTCTACAGACATGCGATTTTTTGAAATAAAATGACTGCCTTATTTTTAATGAAACACCCTGTATATTTTGTCATCGTCAGAAAGCCTGATTTTTCTACTTTACAAAAATGTATAATTTTTTTAAATTTTCAAACAAATAGGACCTACGTTGTGGAAACTTACTAAATTTTACTTACTGGACGTGCGCCTGACAGCAAATATTAGGGAAATTTAAGGGAAGTTGTGATATGTAAAAGAAACGAAAAAATTGTGAAACGTTTACTTTATTATTAAAGTAAATCGTACCGCTCTCGACCTAGTATTCTCGAGGGGAAAGAGAACGGCAGAGAAACCCTCGATCGAACATTCCTCAAACATCGAAACATACTGTGTAATTTTAATATTAATTGTGAGTCAATAATTCAATAATTTAAGTCAATAAAAGTTTAAATTAGGTACCATCCTTTGTTCTTGTGCTAAAGTTTCAATTACACACACTACATTCAATCAACACTACCTATATTCAATACCGAAGAGTTTTTTTGTTAGTTAGCCAGTTTCCCAGCGGATACTGAGGTCCCATACGGGAAGCTACTCAGCTATAGAGTTGTTTTTGAGCCAATATCTCTAGATTGATTATTTCAATTTGTTAGGATATTCTCTCGTCAGGGTAGGAAAATGTTAGTAAATTCAACAAGGCTCTAATGCACGCTCTAAATCCACAAAATTAAAATCTCAGCACAAAAAGACAGCACATAATTTCTTAGTTTTTAATTTACTTCTTTATCTGTGTTGTTTACAGTATGAAACGATAAACGATTTTTGTTAAATACATGAACAATGCACATGTTATAAAAAATGTTATAAACAAACAAAAAATACATAAAAATGAATAAAATAATAGGAACTTGCATAAATTGAACTCTCAAAAACAAAATAACATTTAATCCACTAACCTGTGAACTCTCCTTGACACACACACTAATTACAAATTGGATTGAACAATCAGTTTATTGCAAAATAAAAATGAAAATTGAATAATGAATAATTACAGACACGCGTCGGACCAGCCCAGCTTCTTCTGTAGTCTAGTTGCGTATTCCCTATCTACCCTTCGCTTCGGTACTTTCGTTTTTCTGTGGCGCGCCCCGTTCAAACCTAAACTTGATGACGCATACATGGTTGCAACATTTACTTTTATTCAGTAACCGATTTTTAAAAGTTAAAATTTGAAGAAATAATATTTCAAATAGGTGGTTTTCCTCACTACAATATTTTCTAAATTCATTTCGCCGTTTTTAAATACAGATATTGAAGATATTACAGATACAGAAGTTATAAATATAAAAGAGAGATCGGGGAAATATGAGACGCTTATTCATGAATTCGACGATGTTCAAATTCAAATTGAATGTAGTACCTACCTATTACTGGTGAGTATGTAAATAAACAGTTAGAAGCAGAATATGATGAAAGGGCACATGTTTGGAAATCACGTATTTCAAATCCATATTAAAATTAAAATTATTATCTAAAAATAAAGAAATTTGTAAAATCCTCCAAACTACGCAGGTATCCTAAAGGTACAAGACTTTTGGTACAAGTTAAAACCTGTTACAATTACACTATTGGCCATGATGATGCAACCTTTATCTTCAGATAAGCAGAGAAAAGCAGACGCCAGTAAGGGCGGGCAGTACCATTTCAGTGATCGAGAAGGGTTGTTGCCGCTTGCCGAACTCTAAATGCACAAGTCTCGTGTTTCTCGCACAAAATCAGTAAATTAATTTATCGTGGTACAAAATTGCCAATTAATTGAGTGTTAGTTCCTCGGTTGAGCCTCTGGAGAATTATTCCAGGCTTCTACTCACATTCTCTCTAACTTCTATATTAGATATATTTTTCTGCGAAGTCTTCAATCAAGTGCCTGCTCTAACCATACACAAATAAAGACAAGCAGTAACCCTATTAAGGATATCCTTATTTTCGGACCCAAATGCGCATGCGTAGATGTCAAAATAAGGCTAATTTAAATACTGCTTGTCCTTATTGCACGTCCAATAACTCTCTAATATCTATGCTTATTAAACAATTAAAATCTATTTCATAATGAACTTCATTATGCTACAGATTTTCATTATGATACAGATTTTTCAGCCACTGGAATGGAGTTATTTTGATCATGAACAATGTTTATATAAAAAAACAGACTTGTTTTGGAATTTTGGATTGTTTCTGTTAGTATTTACCAAAAAAACAACAAACAATTAATAAATCGGGTGCGGAATTTATGCCCAAATGACGTCTAGATCTTAATTTTCGAAATTGTCAATAGATGACACCACCAGTTGAGAAGTTTACTATTCCTAAAATAAATATGTATTTCGTTTATTAATGGAAGTAGAAAAAAAAGTATATTGTTTGCCCAGCGGATCTGAGTCTACGGCAGGAATTCGGATGTAAATGCGCCATATTGCCACGTTTAATTATAAAAAAGCGAAAATACTAGACATGACGTACCTATAGTTCATTTGAAAAAAATTATTTTTTAATTACAAAATATTGATAACAATAATAAAACGCTAAATATTTTAACGTGGTTGTTAGATCTATTCTTATTTCTCCTGATTTCTTCAATTTGATCTATTGTAAAAAATAAACATTTTCTAAATATACCATCCGCTTTTGACAATTTGGCAAGCATCCGGCCTGGATGAACCTGATTGGTGGAGTTTTTGGCAGGAAAACCATACGGTTGTCAATGAGCCAACGTCACCTTATGTCTCGCTATTGGCCAGGCCTGACGTCATTTTATCCTCCCATCTTGGAATATCAATGTATATTGAAATATCCAGTGGCGGAGGTTTGGTCATTGTCAATTTTCATGTACGAGTTGCAATACAATAACACTTCCAAAAAGTTCCGCACGCAGCTGGGTATTTTATAAATGAAATCAGCCACTTT